GACAAAATGTCTTGGTAGTGAATGAGTCTCAAAATTTTGCATTTAGTTTGGACATGCAGATAGTTTAAACTCTCACCTAGGAGTTTTCGACTTGAATTTGTAGATAGTTTAAACTCGTATCAAGGAGTCTTGATTTGATTTGAAAGATATTTTATACACGTATCAAGGAGTCTTGATTTGATTTGGCAGATAGTTTATACTCATATCAAGGAGTCTTGATTTGACTTGACAGATAGTTTATACTCGTATCAAGGAGTTCTTCATTTGACATGATTTGTAGTTAGTTTAAACTCGTAACAAGGAGTCTTGATTTGATTTGACAGATAGTTTATACTCGTATCAAGGAGTCTTCAAATTTGTAGACATTTTATGCTCGTATCAAGGAGCCTTCAAATTTGTAGACATTTTATGCTCGTGTCAAAGAGCCTTCAAATTTGATATGTAGACATTTTATTCTCATGTCAAAGAGATCTTGATATGTAGACATTTTATGCTCGTATCAAGGAGCCTTCAAGTTTGATATGTAGACCTTTTATTCTCGTGTGAAGGAGATTTTGATATGAAGACATTTTATACATGTGACTTGCCCCCATGCTTCATGGCTTTGGGAAGACATCATTCTTCAATGCCCCCATCTCCATTTTCTTCAAAGAGGTCTTCATACATCTTCAAAGATCTTCGAACTTGATTTGAAGAGAAGAGATGAGAGGTAGAAATGGTCCCACCGGGCGTGCCAAATTTGTAACAACAAATTTTATGAAAAACATAAAACTTTTGTACAACTTGATTTTATTTCGATCAAACGATATGCGGGTACAATCTCTATTTATCTCCTCTGATTCTTCTCTTCATGAATTTGGGATTGAGACCTTCAAAGATGGATTTGGCGATTGAACCTCCTTCGGCTTGGTCTTGAATTTCTCTAACATTAACTTGGGGGTCGAATGACTTATTCTCGTATTAAATGTTAGGCCTTGACTTGATTAAAGACAACTTATTGGAGAACTTGTTTCTTTGATCTTCTGGAAAGAGAGACTTTGACTTGAATAACGTTGACTCGAGGGCTTGATAGCTTTTTCTCGAATCAAATGCTATGTTGGTTGAACTTCTCAACGAACGGGGCTTGAATGTCGCTTGAACGTCGTTGATATTCTTGGATTGACTTGAGAGGAGTGGAAGTCGTCTCTTTACTTCTTGGGGAAGAGTCGCCGCTCGTTTTCTTCTTCTTGGCCTTCTTCTTCAGTGAATGAACTTCGAGCGTTCTTCAAGAACTTCTTCAAATCTTGAAGAGGGTTCTTGAAACCCTTGAATTTGAGACTTTAATCTTTGAGATGTGTTTGATATTTTTTAGGTGTTTGAGGTGTGATTTGTGGGATTGAGGAGAGCCCTATTTATAGGTGTAGGAGAGAGAGTCTTGGAAAAGAAGAATTGGTCCTTCTTGATTTGATATAATCTCTTTCCTTATCCTAAGATTTGATATAATCTCTTTCCTTATCCTAAGATTTGACTTGGTGGGCAAGAAATAATAACTTTATTAATTAAATATCTTATTTATCATGGATTTATGTCCCAAAATAAATAAAAATATTAATTAATAAAATATTAAAATTTCGATGTCTACACTCTTCATGTGACTTGCCCCCATGCTTCATGGCTTGGGAAGACATCATTCTTCATTGCCCCCATGTACATTTTCTTCAAAGAGGTCTTCATACATCTTCAAAGATCTTCGAACTTGATTTGAAGAGAAGAGATGAGAGGTAGAAATGGTCCCACCGGGCGTGCCAAATTTGTAACAACAAATTTCGATCAATAAATTTTATGGAAGACAAAAAAAATTTTACAACTTGATTAAATTTCGATCAAATGATATTGCCCCCATGTACATTTTCTTCAAAAAAGTCTTCATGCATCTTCAAAGATCTTCGAACTTGATTTGGAGAGAAGAAATGAGAGGTAGAGAATGTCCCACCGGGCGTGCAAAATTTGTAATAACAAATTTTATGAAAAACATAAAACTTTATGTACAACTTGATTATATTTTGATCAAACGATATGCGGGTACAATCTCTATTTATCTCCTCTGATTCTTCTCTTCATGAATTTGGGATTGAGACCTTGAAAGATGGATTTGACGATTGAATCTCCTTCGGGCTTAGTCTTGAATTTTTCTAACATTAATTTGGGAGTTGAATGACTTATTCCCGTATTAAATGTTACACCTTGACTTGATTGAAGAAGCCTTCTTGGAGGACTTGATTCTTTGATCTTCTTGAAAGATGGACTTTCCCTTGAATAACGTTGACTCGAGGGCTTGATAGCTTTTTCCCGGATCAAACGCTATGTTGGTTGAACTTCTCAACGAACGCAGCTTGAATGTTGCTTGAACGTCGTTGATGTTCTTGAATGATTTGAGATGAATGGATGTCGCCTCTTTGTTTATTGGAGGACCGCCATCTCTTTTTCTTCTTCTTGGCCTTCTTCATCATTGAATGGACTTCGAGCTGTTCTTCAAGAACTTCTTCAAATCTTCAAGAGGGTTCTTGAGAGCTCTTGAATTTGAGACTTTAATCTTTGAGATGTGTTTGATATTTTTTGAGGTGTTTGAGGTGTTTGAGGTGAGCCCTATTTATAGGTGTAGGAGAGAGAGTCTTGGAAAAGAAGACATCAATTTAATTGGTCCTTCTTGATTTGATATAATCTCTTTCCTTATCCTAAGATTTGATATAATCTATTTCCTTATCCTAAGATTTGACTTGGTGGGCAAGAAATAATAACTTTATTAATTAAATATCTTATTTATCATGGATTTATGTCCTAAAATAAATAAAAATATTAATTAATAAAATATTCGATGTCTACAATCACCATCACCGATGAGGAGGCGGTCGCGAAATACTTGCGCGTCGTGCCGCCTAAGTGCCCAGATCGCGCTATCCATCGAAACGTTGATCGACATGTCCACCCTCACGATTGAGGATGTGACTGGGCG